AAGCTCATGAACAAAGTAATGTTGTATATAGACTAGGTTGTTGAAATTGCGGAAAGGACTACGTTGGCCAAACAGGTAGAAAATTATCAACACGATTACAAGAGCACAAAGAGCATGCAAAAGACACTATGCACCGTCGCTGGTCTCAACACACGTGGATGTAAAAGAACACAACTTTGATTGGTCCAAAACGGAATTCCTGGCACGAGAAGAAACAAGAAGAGAAAGGTAATTCCTGGAATGGTGGCTCTCAACAAATGGCTCAATCAACATGCATATGGAGATTGACCCAGTATACCAACCCTTCCGACGGAGAGAATTTAGAGAAATTATGAGAAGCCGTTTGAATAAGAACAACTAGAGCGACGACTTCCGTCACGGGTAAATGGGTAGAGATCACGGGAAACAGATCGAAGCCGTCACTTTGGAAAGTCACCTGCACGCCGATCACGGATCGACAATTTAATTAGTGCGATTACACTCCACATCTCGACGCACTGATGATGCCGCCTCGCATGGCGGTGAAACGTTTGCAAACAAATTTCGCAGCTCGGCGAACAAATGAGCAACTGGAAGCCGTGCTGCTCATACGTGGTGATGTCACAGTTTTCTAGATAACCCACCAGTGCATCGGCAACAATGGATTCCATGAACTTGGAGAGTATAGGAGGCAGGCATATTGGGCGGTAGTTTGAGGACTCAGTTCTGATTCCACATTTATGAATCGGGTTATTATTTCAAGCTTTCATGTGGCGGGAACTTGATTCTGGTCTAAGTAGCGCTGGAAAATCGGAGCCCAAGGCCCTGCCAGTTGGCTTGCTGCTGCTCCCAGTGCCTCTGGAGGAATGGTATCGACACCCGGCAAGCTATGTTTGCGTAGAGATGTCAGCTTTTGCAATACAGTTTCCGCGGTAAAAGTGATGTGGGTTAGTCCTAGCAGAGAGACGATAAAGGCTGGGAAATCGCTTGGTGGCGAGACCCTCTGAAACGTGGGGACATATTGCATCCGCAGCGCGTTTGCTGCTTCCACAGCCGTTCTTGCTAGGCCATCAGCCTTCCTGAGTGGAGGAAATCTTTGCCACACCTTTCGTAGACTATAGACGTGTTTGTACAGCAGTTTGTGATTAGCACTGACGTGTTTTTGTAATGTTGTGCGGATTTGCAGCTTTGCCTTCTCTCAGCAGTTGGGTGTAGTGGTTATGTTGGACTACGTAGTTGTACCAAGTTTCTGGTGCCGGAGTTGCTCTGTACACTCGCCATGCTGCGTTGCGTACTGTCATCCATTTTCGAGCTCTGCTCCGAACGAAAGAAACTGACTTACATCTATTGCGAACACTTATCTCTGAAACCTCTGCAATAAGCTGACTGAATTTGTTGGCAAAATCTAGCCAGGCGACTTCAGAAAGGAAGGACCAAATTGTAGCGCTAACGAGCTGGGCTAATCAATCGTAGTTTATGATGGTTAGCACAGTCTCATAGTTCGCATTCCGATATTTCGCATAGCAGACGAAGTTGAAACTGACGACTGCGTGATGGTGATCACGCAGTGGGTCGCAGTGGCGACCCAACGGGTAATCTACAACCAACACAAAAATCCTATGCCACTCGTTGGTAAGCACAAGATCCAACACAGATGGCCTGTTACCTGTTCGGGACCGAGTGGACGAAATGATGTGTTTGTACAGAGGAACATTGGTTACTAGCTCTTGTAGATCGGTTTTGCATTGTTCTCTGATCATGGCAGGGGTTTCCAAATAATGTACGTTGCAATCACTCATGATAGGGATGTGAGTGTACTTTCGCTTTAGACTGCATCTTAAGGCAGCCGCAAGGTGGTAGTCGGTTTCGGGTGTAGATTTTGGGGGCGGTACACCACGACAATTAAGCAGGCATCTCTACCTTTTAACTGCAGGTGGCACCAAAGAGAGTCGGGGAACTGCGAGTCTGAATCCTTCACGGCTTCACACTGTAAATCGCTTCGGTAATACAGAATTATCCCTTCTCCTTTTGTAACTCTATCGTTCTGGATGGGCGACATGCCCGGTAGCGAAACTTTAGCATCCGCCATTCCCGTGTGCAACCACGTCTCAGTGATAGCATTGACATCACATGACCCGGAAGCTTGACGATCTTCCAGTTCGGCCAGTTTATTAAAAGAGCCCCTGCGCATTCGAGTAAAAGCAGATCAGTTTCTCGGTCTCTAGGAGATCAAAGAGGGCTAATGGGGTCAAGTGTGGGAGAATGCCGACCGACGGGAAGTCAGCAGTTACTCGCTTGTTTGATAGGATAATGATACCTCGTCTGGAACTTGATTCGGTCAAGGTGCATCCCAATCATCGTTTGGACCCACGTCATAGTCGGGTAAAGCAGCATTGAACTGGAGCTCATGTAGCATCGTCGGTACGTTTGCTGCTTCAGGTGCTTTGATATGCAAACTTTGCGAAGCTTCTGCGACCTTTAACCGAAGTTCAGAAGGAAGATTTTTCGATTTCTCCGCCATCGACCCAAAACATCTGTTGCTCTTTACTCTGACTGAACCATAAGTATCAGGATTTTAGGGCCGCATCCTCTAGACTTTAGTGAGGGTGGTATCCTGGTGAGCGATGGCATCACGATATTATCCAAAGAAAATGTTTCACGAATGTACCGCCACTGTTCTAAATCGTGCTTTCCGGCCTCTTGAGCATTGTCAGAAAAATGCTCTGGTATGTCATGTAGGAAGCTTGTGTTTAGATGGTCTTACTTACTGTGTCGCTCTTCGATGTTTCTTGTTGATTGTCGCGCACTCCAAGGGGCATCAGGAGAGATTCGTATTCCACGGGATCCGTGTCTTAGCATGCTTGAGAAGAATCAAACGTTTTCTACATTATTGGAGGCTTTTAGTGTTACTCGGATGATTCTGGGTTCTCCATACTGTGGGGAGTTCGAATGACGAGTAATTCGTAATAGGTTTATGGGTTTTGCTTTGACACTCATCAGCAGGCACAGAGTTCCATTGGCCTTGTTGTCCGATAACTTACGCCGCAATGTGATAGCGGTAGATTCGGGGACATTTGAGCACACAACAGTCAGGGCACTATTGTTGGATCACTTATTCCTTGATCTACAAGGTAGGGTAATCATTTGTCCTGACCTACTGGCGAGTGTTAATTATTCACTGTTTGTCCCTCTATTTGCGTTAACGATGTTCACAACAGTAGAGGCTGTAACTGCGGCCTGATTTTCGTTGCCATGAGTACTGTTTGATTCTCGTATCTACAGTTAGTTTTCGCCCGGCGTTCTACATGGCTGATTTTGGTTCAGGGGGGGGGCAGATTGTGCAGCGTGTTGTTGCTTAGAGGCCATTACGCTTCTCTGGTGCATACTAGCTTCGATTGAAGCAATCTTAGCGTTCATCCTCTGCTGGCTTCGGCGGTTACCCGGTCGCACTTCTGGACTAAGATAAGCAAACACTTAACGATTGGGATGGTCGAGCAGACGGTGCAGAACCAAATCAAATCTGGAGAGCTATTTTGCTTCTGTACCTTTTGTTGGGACACCTCTGCACATTTTGGATGATACCATTCTAAACAATACGAGCAAGCAAAACCTTTTTTAACTAATCGAGGACTTCCTCCTAGCCTGCTAATGCCTTTTGGTTGGAGCCTTCTCGGATTCGCATTGCGCGCCTTCAACGTGGTGTCGTTACCTGACCCACTGGGTTGCTTGGCGTTCTGTACTTTTCCAGCTTTGATAGAGGCGCACATCGGTCAGCCGAGCGTTGTAGCTATAAGGTCAAATGAGCGGGCGGTGTGGTCACGCGGTCCGTGTGATGGATTATGCAGGCGCACTGGCTAACAAAGTCACAAATCACGAGTGACTGGAACCTGCTGACCGAATCTGAACACAGCGCTGAACACAGATTGAGAGATCACAAATTCTTTCACAGCTGTGTTGAGAAACGCCGGATTCGGACTGCCGCGCAAATTCTGTATCGAATAGTGTCACACTGAATGGCAATCGACTCAATGTGATTGAGTTATCCGCTTGTCCTTATTCACGGATGATAGTTAAAACGGTTAATGATAGCACGGACTTTAATCGTAGGAGATAATTCCACGTATGATGAATTATTGTGTACGGCTGGTCAATCCGGTTCGAATGAGAGTCCAATGACTACGCTGCGTGAAGATGGAGAGAGGAAAGAGGGGAATAATCCAAATGACCCAGGAGTACGCAGTCACGCGTATGTGTGGATGACCTTGACTAAGGAAAGCGACTGAGGGTCTCAACCAAAGCATTTGTTTCAAAAACCAAGCCACAAAGCATCGGAATTTTGGCACTGGCCTACAGAGAGTTCGTCTTATGGAGTGAGGAGCCACCTTAAAACCAGCCCTCAACCTGGAGAGCCAGGTGACTGTGTTGGTCTAGCCACTAACCATTGATCACTCCGGTATAAGTAGGTCTGAACATACAAGAAGCCCCACCCAGCATAGTTCAATATTGAATGAGGCATGTAAACCATCACACCACGTTAGAGTATAGTTTCGTCACGATGGACGACACACTTAACATTAAAGTTTCGGCAATGACACTGAGGATAAATTATTTGCATAATTTCCGGAATCTGATGTTAGCGTGTCAGGAGCCAGGTACCTTTGAGTTATCTTTTACAGGGTAATAAATACCATAATACAGCGGTTTGGATATTGACCGACCGATCCGGAACAATTGACATTTCTTACGGTTTTATTGTGTGTGTGTGTCCCCCATCTTGGGCTACTTTTCCTTACTTACCTACAGTCGTCAGTCAGATAACATATGATTAGTCATCAAACCGTCAGAGAACATCGTGCTGTTGTGGTGTCGTCAACGAACATGAATTGGTACACCTAATTTCTATGCGTGGTAGAACAATAAAAGACCGATCGGCCGTAGTGGTAAGCAGGCCTAGGTCAGCGCTTTTATCCTGAAACCTCCACGTGATATATATATATATATATATATTTTCCCTACTGCAGGACTTCATCGTGGAAAACATGGGCCCGTCGTTCATTGAACCACCCACGTTTGATTTGGCGGGCTCCTTTGCGGACTCTAGCAACTGCTCTCCTTTGATTTTTGTGCTGTCTCCCGGAGCGGATCCAATGAACGCCTTGATACGTTTCGGTGCCGATATGAACTACACTGGCGACCGAATACAAACTATCTCATTGGGTCAAGGTCAGGGACCAATTGCAGCCAAAATGATCGAACAGGGGATTCAGGATGGATCTTGGATTGTGCTGCAAAACTGCCACCTTGCTGTCAGCTGGATGCCAACGCTGGAAAAGGTTTGCGAAGAAGTGATAGTACCAGCCGAAACGCACAAGGATTTCCGACTTTGGTTAACCAGCTACCCCTCTAAAGAATTTCCGGTGACAATATTGGAAAACGGTAAGGGACGCGTGTTTTATCAACTAAGTAGGATTTTTAAGGTGTGTTTTGTGCAGTGGGGTAAAAAACTTCCTCAGCATCGATGACCAGTCATCCAGCTTCTTCCCAAATTTTAGGAATCAAAATGACCAATGAGCCTCCCAAAGGACTCCGACCAAATCTTCTGAGGTCCTACTTGAATGACCCAATCTCGAACCCAAGTTTCTTTGATGGGTCTACGAAGGTGAGCATTAAACGGTTACACCGGTCTTATCAACCTTATATGCATGACTAAGCTATTACTTGCCCAACCATAAGTGAATCGACGGTTTTGATGCTCATAACATGTATACATGGCTATTCGATTACCCTTAATGAGGTGGATATCGATCCGGAAGCCTCTACGATACTGCCGTTACCACTTGTTACACGTTCGAGCAGCAGTTAAGTCGATTGCTGTTTAGAAATATAGAAGTGCCAGGTTACGATAGTGCACAATAATAATGCACATAGCGAAGCAATACGAGCCTGTCTATGTCCCCTTCCGGTTACTTTTGATTTCGGCAACCGGAGTCTATCGTGATCCAACGAGTTCACGTCCACTACAAGAAAATAGGATAGCGATTTCACTCCACTCGTTTGGCAAGTACTGCTAAGGATGTTTGACAACGCGGTGGGACCGTGCAATGCTTTTTCAGATATCTGGTATTCGATGTTGTTCAAAAGACTGTCAGTTCGGGCTGAGTGTTCAAGCGTTCATTTGATCACCTAGCTTAGCAAGTAGGTTGCAAACGGTTCATCTCCAGTGGGGGGGGGGCGACATTATCAATGCGGAGCGGTAAGTGATACCCTTCATGAATACTGGTGTTTGGATACTATTTGGGTGTGTGTAAATGCAAATCACTCTGACTGGCTGCTTATGTGAATAATCCGGAGGGTTCAAGTAGTCACTATCTGTCGTAGCTGTATTATTGGAACGTTGGTTGATTGGCAGTAACAGTACAATGCACCCATAATTCGTGGGACTCGTTCGCTAGAACTGTTGACTTGTTTTACTACACGTAATGGTTTTCTAATCGTTAGAGTTCTTTCTGTACGATCGTTTGGTATACCGGGTCTATACGATGCGAATAGTTATGGAACTCCCCTGGAGCACCATGCCTCCAGGAAATTTTTTTTCTGCGTTTCTTCATATTTCAAGGTTCCTGGTTTAGTCCAGCCAAAGCCATACCTTTCTTCGTCCATGCACACCGAACCGAAGAAGAGAGCACGGTGTTTCTTGCAGGCCCTTTGGTGATGTTGTATTTTTGTCGAAAATTTCTCCCTGCTTGACCCACATAGTAGCTGTCGCAATTTTTACAGTATATATTATCCGCCACATTTGGTCGTTCCTTCGTTTCTAGTTTATTTCTGGGTTTTGACAGTGTTCCTCATAGTAGCAGTTGGCTTATGAGCCAGGCCAAGGTCGTGCTACTTGAATAACTGGTCTGTCATCTTAGATGTGTTCTTTATATAGAACAGGACGACCCTTTTTCTTGTCACTCGTGCGTGTTTGGTTGTATATAAAGACCAGCATTCATAAGATCATCGTCTAACGCAACGCATCGATGCTGTCACTTCGTCTGATGATGCAACGTTTGAATCCTGACTGCCAAGCTCGGTGGGCAAATGAGCACCTGGAGATGCCAGTTGTCCTTTCGTTACTATGACAAATATTTTTCGAAACTATTCAATCTAGGTTTTGGATGCGTGAAAGTGTACAGGGGGAGTGTGCGGATCACTAAAATGAGTGGATGCATCATACAACAGATAACAGCGAAGGATGCAATATCGGCTACCTCAAGTTGTTAGAAGGAGCACAGCTATTGGTGCTGGCGGTTTGCTCATCACCCTACAATACATCAAGGTCCGACGGAAATTGCCTACTACTGTAGTGGCAACTATGCCTCCAGAAGGATTTGTGTTTACCACGCTTGGTGGAGTTTGAGACGGGCAATGCATTTCATGTTAGCATTCGCATAAATGCAATCATACCCCGCCATCTTCATCTACCGGATGAGTAATTTCCGCCCATAGTAGAACAGTTAAAGGCAGGGGTTTAGGCTGATATTTTTGGTATGCATGTGTTTGAGTTCACCCTATCACGCAACGATGACAATCAACTTATGTGTACCATAGCTACAAGGAGCGCCAATGAACCAGCGAGTTCCCGACGCTCTTCATAGTCTGGGACCCCGCAGTACTACGGGATTGCTTGAATCACATGAGAGGACTAGACAGAATCGGTGCACTCCTTTTGATTATTGCATGTGATTTCTTTGAAACCCTACCCCCTGAGTCACCCTGGTGAGTTGGTTTGTATTTATGTTGTTAGGGTTAAAGTCAACCTAACCCGAGCGAAATCCAGGGTTCCAAAGGCCGAAACCAAACGGCGTCATGGAAGTGATTTCGTACTCCTTACTACGCCACAAAAAGCGAACGGACTGGTGATCTTGAACGAACGAGCTGGCTAATAGCACAGTTGTGCACACAGGAATATTTTCTTTGTTTCTCAGTGGCATTTTGTCCTACACCATTGAATCTACACCAATTCGTCTTGTTTTTACAAGCTCTAGCTTGAGACAACATTTACTCGAGTACACTACAGTGCATTCTACATTTACCTGGATTTGTAAACACCGCGCAGTGTTTAACCTATATCCACGTGCTAAGGTTGCACAATTTCAACCGCTGGACTCCAAGTTTGGTCTCACTCGGCAGAACAATTCAGCAGCGTTCGAGCAAGCTCTGACTCGGTCCATCCCAAGACTGCGTGAATCAGAGAATTGTCCTGTTCTCCGAGCCGGGCATTGCTGTTGCAGACGTTTCCTTACCAAACTAGGCAACATGTTCAGTGCGGCTATTCACATCTGATTGGCGGAGTCTCGCAAACCACTGCCAGATCCGAATGACTATTGATTGTTACCTGCTTCGAATGTCAGCCCTCGACTGGTTCACGTGAGTCAGCCGAGTGATCACGTATTCTCCTTGTCGTTCTGGTACATATTGCTGGCTTAACCTGCAGAGCTTCCTAGACACACTCCAGCTCCAGGTGTGTTGTTTGCGTTCCGACCAGAATGTCAGGCCTCGAAAAACTCACGCCCTCTGCGGTTTCTTGTTCTTCCAAGTATTTCAATGTCCTTCAGATCAAACTGATGGTTCTCGGTATCCATGTGTACTGACATTAAGAAGTTCTCATCGTGGCGGCGGATGGCCATACTATGTTCGTGCAGTCTTTTGCCAAGTTTTCTTCCGGTCTGGCTTGTATGGCACTTGTCGCAGTTCTAGCTGGAAATATTTTAACTACACCTGATGTTTCTTCCTTAATCAGTTTGTCCTTTACTTCGAACAGTTTTCTTTGCTTCGTGTGCAACATTTATCCCGTGACGCATTATAAATCTCGCTGCCATTTCTGAAATCGCATGGATGTAAGGTAGGATAATCGTTTTTCTTTCTGTTGCGCATATGGACTTGGGTTGTGACAGGCTCTTCAATATCAGGCAGCGTAGAATAAAACTTCTAGGGTATGAATTTCGCTGAAACATGCCAACAAGGTGGTCCTCCTCCGCCTTCTTCATTTGCGACGTGCTACACTGTATCTGGGCCCATTTGAAAAGCGTCCTCATGCAACTTCACTTGTATCTGGTCGGATGGTTACTGTGATAGTTTAAGATCCCATCGGTGTGGGTCGCTTTCAGAGAAACTGTTGTTTCCAGTGACCCAGAAGCATGTCTTCTCCCGAGTACGTCCAAGAATGGTATCTGGTCATTGTTCTCTTACTCTTTGATGAAATGGATGCCGGAAAAAATATTATTGATTACCTGATGTGTTTCTTGTAGCCTGGAGCGTTTGAGGATGACAAAAGTATCGTCTATGTAACGTACCCTAATTTTAGGTTCCATTATTCGCAATACATTTTGTTCCAAGGCGTGCAGCACTGCTTCTTCTACCAGTATACGAAGCACTGCACGTTAATCCGGCAATATGTACCAGAACGACAAGGAGAATACGTGATCACTCTGCCGACTCACGTGAGCCAGTCGAGGGCTGACATTCGAAGCAGGTAACAATCAATAGTCATTCGGATCTGGCAGTGGTTTGCGAGACTCCGCGAATCAGTACTGAATAGCCACACTGAACATGTTGCCTAGTTTGGTAAGGAAACGTCTGCAACAGCAGTGCTCAGCTCGGAGAACAGAGCAATTCTGACATCCACACCTCGAGCTAGAGGTATTCTCAATCATTTTCAAACTGCGTGAATCAGTTTCCAAGTAAACCTCGTTTTTCCCGCAACAAACCGCATTCAGCATCTGGGCCTTGTGATCAATAGACCTAGCCACGCAGGTCCATCAACCACACCACAGTGGGCCTTTAGCACAGACAGCCATCACGAAAAAAGACATTTGAGACCCAGCTGATGGCCCATCTACTATTTTGCCACACAGGCACAGAGCCAGTCGGAGCATAGAAGTGCGGGGGAAACCCATCGAGGGAATACCCTACATACATGGAAGCAGGTCCCCTGGGGAAAGTTCCATGGATGGTCATATTACTTTACTTGTAGTTTCGGTTAACTCTACAGTTGTTATTGTGCCCAGGTTTCTTAATCTCTCTAATACTTTCAAAGTGCTAAGCACTTCAAAAAACCCATATGGGAACCTTTGTACAAAACACGTAAAATTAACTGTATTGTACGATCACGTTGTACAAACTGATTAGATCACGCAATTGGTTTGTGCCTCGCACTGTTTATTTATTTATTTATTTATTTAGGCTTACAACACGACAGTGAAGGCCTAGTGATATCGCCCCACCGTCACCCTGTGACCTTGACTTCAACGCGCGGAAGTGATTCGACGTGTTTACGCACTCAGGACAATACTCTAACGTGTGTGTCGGTCTCACCATCAATTTGACCGATAGCGTTCACATTCAGCCTACTATATCTTTTTTGTTGTTTAAATCCATAGCGCAACCAAATTGCTCCCTAACGAAGACATGTTCTTCCATGGACCTTTCAAGCTAGTTCACAACCTTTTCAAGTTGAATCCAATGGGCGAAAACACTCCCATACCTTCTTGCTACCACAAGCGAGATGGTGTTGGCAAAAATTACGCTTATTGCCACTTAATGCATTGCTCGAGCCGTTTGGATCGCACGAATTCCATTCCCTGGCGGTAGCAACAGTGCTGTGCCTGCCTCTCCACTCGTGGATCGGCGGTTTGAATGGCTGTCGCGGTCGCGGCTGTTGCCCTTGTAGCCGTGAACGACCACACTGCGGTGTCCACAGAATCCAATGGGTTCATTGGCTGTTTCTGGAATGAAGCAACAGCATCGGCTGCGTGCTCCAGTAATGCGACATGTTACGTGCACTGTGATGTATGAAATGTCTTCATTCACTCTTGAGCAAATGAAAAAATGATGCCGATGTTAGCTTCTAAGATTACTTCTATCAGCACGAGAGTCAGATCGTCGCGTTGACCGTCAAATGTTCAGGGCAATTGTTCTGCAGCCAAGCAAAGTTATTTTCAATGCCCCACATCACGTAAAGAGAGAGAAAGATCTCTATCGTAATAATCTAGTTCACCTTTTTCTGTACTTAGTTTATTGTGATCCACAGCGATCCGCAGCTTCCAACAGCAATTCCTGACCGCATCATGTACACCAGTGCGTGGCTATGTACTTAGGGCCATTATAGGGTGTTCCTTGTTTTCACTTTTCCATCCAGATCACAATTTGGCACAAAATGCTGTTTGGCCTGTGCTTCTTCCACGCACTGGTCCAGGAACGACGCAAATTTGGTCCGCTGGGTTGGAATGTGCCTTACGAGTTCAACGAATCTGACCTCCGTATCAGCATGCGTCAAATGCAGGTAAGATGCCAACCCTTTCCGTTTGTACGTAGTTTTTCTATCCAAGTACCTTTTATCACTGTCGTTTTCCGTAACAGATAGACAGTCCACCGCAAATACACATCAGCCGTTCAGCCTCGCCATCTCTTCCTTTCTTTTCCAAACATTTGGAGCGCCGTGTGTTCAGCCGATGGTCACAGATTGCTTATATTTGTTTATACACCCACTTTGAAAAATACGGAACAAGACACTGACCACGAAATCAAACAATGCATTTGTTACTTTATGAGTAGGACTACACTTAAACTGTTGATCTAGTGTCTTTGATTATAGACGCTCGGTAATTAAAATAACCGTATGTTCTGCCCCATGCTGAGGCTGATGTTGCATTCTTGATGCTTCTTCACCGCAGTTGGGCTAAACCAACTTAAACTAGGTCTTTTTAAGCTGGCTAAATTTCATTCCGCATTATTTGGTTTGTTCTGCCTCCCTGAATAATGTTCTATTAACTGGCCACGTTGCTTACACTAATTGCGCTTATCTTCGGTAATTTTGTTGCGTTTGTAGCATTTTAAGTAACTTGTGGACATTTCTTACTTATCACGGATTTGTTGCTGACCAACTTACTTCATATGGTAATTTAGCGAAGAGTTATGCCACCGTATCTGTATGCATTATTGGATTTATTTTATTTCAGCTTGTCGTTTAAATTGAATGGCTGTTGTTTGATATCCCTGGTATGGTTACGCTTGATGTGTATGTTGACAAGGTGCTTACTTGTCTATTACCCACTACATCGTTCATACTGGCTCCAGGAGACAGTTGGTCGTTGCTGGAGGGGACGGGGTGCACGGTTCTTGTGGCCGTGCTAGGCTCAAAGAGCGGTTCCATGCACTCAGTGTGGAGCGGACTACGGTCCAGCCACCGCCTTGTGTGCGGTTGATTCCCCAAATACAGCGTGCTTGTGTTTGCCTGTGAAGGAGTGTGGGCCGGCTCCGTTGATGAAACGTGGTTCCCATCCGCATGCCTCCCGGTCTTATTCCCTCGGGTTTATACTGGATATGGGGTATGTGGTTGGAGCTGTGGGTGGTGCAGCGCAAGCCATCCATGGTCCCTCTGTAGGCGCAGGCGTCCTGTGGCTTGCCACAGTGACAGGCAAATCCGAAACCGGATGCCGCCAACCATGTTCTGCAACAAACTCTGCGCTGTTCATGGGCACTGGGTGTTGAAAAGGCAGCTCACTTGACACGTGAGCGAACACATACAGTAGCTGGGGTTTTTCCCGCAGAAGGCGAATCTTTAAGATGGGCACTAACAGCATTCGTGTGTTCACAATATTCAGTAGCGAGGATCATTCGTGTGCTCGACTTTGACTTTATCCATGCCACTGTGGCTGAGTGGGTTACTCGGTTCCAGTTACTGCAAATGCACCATCTGAAGGCGGAAATGTGGTCAGATGTGGGGGGACGGGAAGCAAATCATTTAACTTTCTTGAACTGGAACTGTCAAGCCCGCTTAGATACCGAAATTCTCTCGAAAGCGCAGTTATTTGCAACTGGGCTCGAAGGAGTGAAAGAGACAATAAACCCCTTTGGAGCCCAGCCATGGGGACCTGGATTTAATACACATACGCTGCATTAAAGGTATTGTGTCTAAGAAAAACCTCGAATAGACGATATCAGGGTCCGGTATACACAGGTTTATATGACAAGATGTCTAGTAAGCTCTTCACGCATTACCAGCGTAAGGGAAGTTTATCATTAGTAGAGTAATAACTAAAAGCACCTCAGGTATACTGAATACGGAAGAGGGCCAGAAGACAAATATCTGTGTTGCTACATCGTAGGCGGATCGGGCACATGCGCGGAATCACGTCACCGATTCCTGCGCAGTGGTAACATATTGCAGATGCACTACATATTATCCGGGGGCGATACGCTCCCTATACCTGTAGTCCGCCAAGTGGGCGTTAAGGAAGCTCTTGGATTCCGACACCGATTTCGCTTCGACTATTGTCTCCGGCAACTTGTTCCAATATTTCACCACTCGATGCTCGAAACATAGAGGGTGAGCGATGCGCTTTAAATCCGGTACCACTAATTCGTACCGATATCCGCGTGTGCTGCTTGGTGCGCGAACGTGTAGCAGCAGCCTCAACATAGGGAAGTGGCCCATGTGCAGTATCCGGTGCGTCATAATGAGATCAACACCAAGCCTACGCTATGACAGGGTATAAAGCCCTGGTATCCAACATCGGTCCTCGTACGACATACCCCGTAAACTGGGGATGAGCCGGGTAACAACATTCTGCACCCGTTCCAGTCTCTGCATCTCACCTATTGTGATCGGGCAATAGGCAGGCAAGCGGTACTCAAGCACCGGTCTTATCATAGAAGAGAACAGACGGGTAGCAATCTCTTCAGACTAAGTGCAGAAGCTATGTGTCTAAATGCCCAAAGCAGGCGTAGTCCTTTTACATACAGTCTGCTCGTGTTGTCGACAGACTTCAGAGCACAGTGTAATAGTAGCCCTAGATCCTTTGCGGAACTAGTAGGATGCATCAAGTGGCCGGCCAGGGTGGACGCACGCCCGATACCATCCCTTCCTAGGCTCATACACGAGGACATGGCGGCGTTGACCGGTAGGTCAACGTCTGCAGACCACCGGGATAGGCGGTCGAGGTCCTGCTGAAGGACGTCACAGTTGCCGGGAGAATTCTTAATTCTCCAAATCTTCAGGTCATCCACAAATAATACGCAGGGCGACCGAAGCAGCTGAAGTATTTCGTTGACGTGGATCAGGAATAAAATTGGTCCTAGCACTGTGCCTTGGGTACACTGCCAGTGCACGGGTACCATTCCCTTAGGTAATCGTCTACCTGAACTTGCCATCTGCTCCCAATAAGGAAGTCACTGATTCACTGGTGCAGTGCGCCACCAACATCACACATCCCCAGCTTGTGGAGCAGGATCTTGTGGTTCACTTCATAGTAAGCTTTACTGAAATAAATGTAGATAACACCCACTGATTTCCCCGGTTCAACGTTTGCAACCATTCCTTCCGCGTCAACAGCAGGTTGGTGATGCACGAACGGCTCTTCATGAAGTCGTGCTGTGCCGGCGTTATGAGATCTTTCGACTCCAGCAGCTGGAGGAGATCATTTTTCCCAATCTTCTCGAGCACCTTCGCCGAAACTGTGGTGAGACAAATCGGCTGGTAGTTGTCCATATTGATTGGGTCACCACCATTTAGAATCAGCTTCACTACCGAGCATTTCCAGTCCCTCGACAATGCACCCTCGGACAGCGACAGATCCGACACGACAGACGAGATGATGGCCGATAAGGACTTCAAAATAAGCATGTGAACTGCATCAGGTCCGGCAGATTTTGTGCCATCAAGACTGGCGAGTAGACTGCGGACATTTCCACACCGCAATCAAGGCTCTAGAGTTCAGTAGGGGCTGCACACGTCGAGCTCGGCATAGACACAAGCCCACTAGTATATACGGAAGTGAAGTGCTCCGCCAATGCGGGCGCACGTTCAGTGCTAGAGGTCAGAGGCTGTCCGTCAGTACGCTCTAACACAGGTACGTCACTTGCGGGACTCAGGCACCGCTTCATGTAAGCGAAAACCTTCTTGGGGACTGTTTTCGCTGTTGCAAAATCCTCTTCGAACTGCCGATGCTTTTGCGCTGTTGCATAGAATTCGCTGCCTTTTGTACACCTCAGACTCGTCGACAGAGCAAGGCACAATGAATTTATTCCGCAATGCGCATCAGCGAGGAGCCATACTCTGTCGAACCAATGTGGTTTCACTGGTCCAGCTTTCCTATATTTGAGGGGTGCGAAACGAGCATACAACGATTTCATACCCTCTTTTATAACAAACCAACAGGCTTCAAGAGATGAATCCTGCAGCAGCAGTCAGTCCACTTCGCTTGTGGCTCGATTGAGACCTTCGAAGTCCGTCTACCAGTAATTGTGGGAAGGCTCCAGCGGACGCGAGTAGGACAGTTGCAGCTCAAGGCTGGCTAACACCATCGAGTGGTCACTAGCTGCCAGCGGATCCAGGACCTGAACTTCGTATACACGTTACTCTTAAGTAGTTAATAGTAGGTCCAAGCACGATGGAGCGGAATGCGGTGTAACGCGCGTCGGTTGGCAGACGTGTTGTTTTGCCCCAGTCTCGAATATCCTCTCTGCAAACTGCGCCTCGATTTCAGTGCCCGGGGAGAAGTTGAACCTCAGGCCACCGTATTCGAGGGAAGTTAGTATCACCCATAAGCAGGAAGCGGGGCTGACTCATGTAGTTTCTGGCATGCGGCAACCAATCTAGACCTCGACTTCGCGCGCTGCGATAAGCAACACCCACAAACAGTTCACCCTATCTCAGGCAGATCGAACACTACAGTTGCTGGCACAGGTCATCTTCGCTTCGGTATATGTTTACCAGTCGCCCGCACAGCGAGGACCGAATACATGACAACACGCCGCCTCGATCGTTTGATAGTCTGTCGCACCGGAAGCACGAGTAGCCACTGATCTGGACTACTTAGGTAGTGACCTCAGGGTTTAACCAGGTTTCGGCCAATCCTAATGCCGCCGGACGAGGTGAAACAACGAAATGAAATACATCGTCACGTTTGTTCATCAAACTGTAAACATTTGTGTAGGCTATGCGCAGGCCGCGGTTGCAAACGCCGAGCGCGCATGCAGCGTCATCGATCTGCTGATCCTGGTTCGGCAGACCCGGGGAACTACCCAAAAACATACGATGTGGTGATTGGTTTCTTCACTATCACTTCACCGCTTTAACTCCACGATAGCGAACTTCAGGTTCTCTCTGTCCGACGGATCCAAATCGGGACGAATATGGATCTTTAGACCTCTTAGGCTACCGAGGCGGGATAGTATCTGCCTCGGAGTCGTTGCATTAACAAAGGTGACTCTTAGATGCCGGGATTCCCCCTCCTCTATCTTTCCAAGCCGTATGATTTGCTTCACCCGTAATCCACGTCC